ATTAAGTTATTTTTACTGAAGTTATTCCACACAGGTGTTGGCAAAGAGAGGCAGGACTTCAGAGACTATTTTATCTCATTTAAGGAGCTGCGACTTTAATTGACAACCCCACCAAGGAATGTCAATTTATAATCAACACACCATCTTGTGCAGTCAATTTTTTCCCCCTTGTAATAAAAAGGTTTCCAGAGCTCCAAGGCACTAACAGTTATTGAAGTGTAAAATAATCTCTTCCAGGGATACACTGATAGAACAACCTGCAAATGAACGTGAACCTGAAACTCAAAATGAGCAGAACTGCTCGGAAAATGAAAATACAACCCAGAGATTTCGAGTTAAAGGTTCACAGATCACAGGGAGATTAATAAAAGAGACCTGAGAAACAAAGGGCATGAAAGACATTTCTGATGTGGGTCATTATGAGCCCCAACACCACATTTCAACTTATATATACATATATATATATATATATTAATCTGGCCCTGTTCAATCTGATGGAAAATTGATGGAAAACACAATGCAAATCCCAGTACCCCCTTCTTTCCTGCTGAGCTGTGCGAGTCTCTCCATGGGGGAGAACCACCAAGTTGGGATGAGATGCTGCTGGAGATCCAGCCAGGAAACAAGGGGCACTGAAATCAAATTTATTCTATTTATTTATCCTTATCCAGGGCTGCCTTTTTCCCTTTGTCAGGTGAAAGTTCCCTAAAAGAGGAACCCACCAATTAGGGAAGTTTGGCCTCAATTCGAAGTCATGACAGAAGAATTAACTTATAATGACAACATTCCTTAATTCCTTAACATCCCAGCTCCGGATCTTTTGATGTGTTTTGGGGGTGGCTTTGGCACTGCTGGGTCACTGGGTTGGTACTCGAAGCTCCCGGAGCTCTTTTCCCACCTGAACGGCTCCGGAGCGTGGGAATGAGCCCCGAGGGGACACCACAGGACAACCAGGGGACAGCACAGAACTGCGCTAAGACTCCCAAACCGAGCCGCGGGCCCGGCAGCACCTCCAGAATTCCCGGATTTCCCCCAGATTTTCCATGTAAAACACGCGCCAGTCCCTTTAACACCGGGGACGTGCGTGGGTGCCCACGGGAGTTCACCCTGCGGCTCCCGTGGAGACAAAGCCCCTCGGATCGCGGATCCCAGACCTCCCTGCGGATCCCGGGACAACCTCGTGGATCTCGGGACAGCCCCGTGTGTCCCGGATCTCCCCGCGGATCCCGGGACAGCCCCGCGGGAGGCTCCACGTGCTGCTCGGGGGTTACCCGGCACCGGAGGCCGCGCGGCGCCGGGAGCAGCCGCAGGGCCTCCTTGGCCCCCGCAACAGGGCCCTTTGCCTCCCCGCCGAGCCGTGCCCCCCCCCGTTATCCCCGTTTTACCCCCCTTTTCCCGGCTATCCCGGTTATCCCGGTTATCCCGGTTATCCCGCTCTCCCGGTACCTCCGCGGAGCCCCCGCTTCGAGCCCAGCGCCTTCCGGGCCGCCGGGCAGGCAGCGCCAATCCACCGCCGAGCGCGCCCAGCCCGCCGCAGCGAGCGCCGAGACATCGATCGCTGCCCTGTGAACGCCCACGCGGGACGGACGGGGGACACGGGACGGGGAGAAACGGGAGGGGTCCCGCTGCCCACGGGGGGTGCAGAGCACACCGAGAGCTGCCTGCAGCGGGCACAGCGCGGTGATGACCGCTGTGGCACACTGCCTGGCACGCCGCGGGTGAAGGGCAGGAGGGCAGCGTGGGTGATCCCCGCTGGGGGTTCCGATCCCGGGGTGGGGGTCTCGGAGTCCGCGGCGGGGTGCAGAGCCCACGGAGCGCTGTCTGGAATGGACACAGCGCAGTGATAACCTTCACAGAGTGGCTGGAGAGCAGCCAGGCATTAAGGGACCTGGGGGTGCTGATGGACAGGAGGCTGAACATGAGCCAGCAGTGTGGTCGGGTGGCCAAGAAGGCCAATGGATCCTGGCCTGCATCAAGAACAGTGTGGCCAGCAGGAGCAGGGCAGTGATCCTTCCCCTGTACTCTGCGTTGGTGAGGCCACACCTTGAGTATTGTGTTCAGCTCTGGGCCCCTCAGTTCAGGAAGGACATTGAGCTGCTGGAGCGGGTCCAGAGAAGAGCAAGGAGGCTGGTGAAGGGACTTGAGCACAAGTCCTATGAGGAGAGGCTGAGGGAGCTGGGGTTGTTTAGTCTGGAGAAGAGAAGGCTTAGAGGTGACCTCATCACTCTCTTCAACTACCTGAAGGGAGGTTATAGCCAGGTGGGGGTCGGTCTCTTCTCCCAGGCAACCAACAATAGGACAAGGGGACATGGGCTCAAGCTCTGCCAGGGGAGGTTTAGGTTAGATGTTAGGAA